AGCCGTTTTATAAAACTCGAAGATCGTTTTATAAAACTCGAGAAGCCGTGTTATAAAACTCAAAGATCGTTTTATAAAACTCGAGAAGCCGTTTTATAAAACTCGAAGATCGTTTTATAAAACTCGAGAAGCCGTTTTTTAAAACTCGAAGATCGTTTTATAAAACTTGAGAAGCCGTTTTATAAAACTCGAAGATCGTTTTATAAAACTCGAGAAGCCGTTTTATAAAACTCAAAGATCGTTTTATAAAACTCGAAGATCGTTTTATAAAACTCGAGAAATCGTTTTACAAAACCGCGAAAAACCAAAACCGCCACGAAACGCGAACTAGTCACGACTAGTTCGCCTGCTGGCGAAGTAAGCCAAGCTGGCTTAGTTCGCAAGCAGGCGAAGTAGAGGCTCACCGACTAGTTCGCCTGCAGGCGAACTAGACGGTCCCCGACAAGTTCGCCTGCTGGCGAACTAAGCTAGCTCGGCTTAGTTCGCCAACATGCGAACTAGAGATATCCCGGATCTCCTGCAGCCCCAATTCGAACCTTACGTCCTGCGATATGGTCACATTCTGAACCACGGCCGAAATCTCTCTCGTTTCGTCTCGATCCGACTTATCGTTTGAATTCTACGATAAAAACCGTAAAACTCCGCTTTCTCGAAAAGAACTCGGAGAAATCGTATAAAACTGTTAACGGTTAAGCAAGACACCGAACATCGCCTCAACTATAAGATTTATCCGTGTTTTTTCGTTAAGATCATAAAAAACGCGTTTTTAATTAAAAACGTCGAGAAAATCGAAAAAAACGGCATCGGATCAGGAAACGGTCTTGTATAAAGTCGTAAAACGGTTTTTATCGTAAAACGGCTCGAAAGGTCCTAGCAAGGACCTTGTATAAAGTCGATGAACCACGGCTAAAACACATTGCATCTATCAGTTACCTGTGAGGTGAGCATCTAACAGATTTCTCCATCTGTTACCTGTGAGGTGAGCATCTATCAGTTACATGGAAGTCATATAAACAAAACCAAGGAAGGCTGTAATAACGAGTCGAACCTCACCAACAGAATGAATATTCCGGTCATCAGCAGTGTACATGATAACATCCTGGTCAAAACACAAGGTTATAGTTTAATAGTAACCGTTGAGACAACTGAAAAAGGGACATACTTACTCCAGCTGAAGGAACAACAGTCGTTGGTTCACCACTCTGAAAACGAAAGAGACCAGCTTTGAAGTCTTTACCGTAGCTATTCAAGTAAAAAACTGCCTTCGAAAACCAAACATAAAACCAAAGTGATCATTTACATAAAAACATATAATCAGAAAAGAGTAAAGTGCAAGCCAAGTCTGGGAGCCTGATATTACAACCTACTATGCAAAAAACTGTCATGGATTAAAAATTAGAAATCTGTTACCTTATTGGGAGTGTGCCCAAGACAACGCCACTGCAGTAAGAGCACGACTGGCTTGCACTTTCAGCCTGAGAGACATAAGAACATAGTCCACAGATGAAGTGAACCGAATCAGAATAAAACTAAAATGAAAGTTTTGAATCTTGAATGCGGCTATGGTGGTGATAGTCTCCAAGCCTCAGACGATGAACCTACAATATATAGAGAAAAAAAATACGGATAGTTAGAGCAGAACATAATCAATAGATGTTATCTTTCGAAACCAAATGCTTACCTCTCCGCAAAACATTTCAAAGAAGCCTTTCAAGTCAGTTTGACTAATCTGCAGATTCAAGAAACAAAGAAAATTTAGTTTCTCCAAATACTTAAAATTGACATTCTCTCACAAAACAAATGGTATTAATCGAACTAAAGTTACAAGCTTGTCAATGTTGGTACAGTAAACAGTCCTCATGCACATCTCACGCTCAATCTCAGACTGCAAGAAAGAATCATCATTATGGTTAAAACTGATTCTATGAACCTACCCAGGGAAGGAAAAGTGGGGTTGACTTTTTTACCTAATTAAACCGGTGAATTCAATGAACAAATCGTACTCACACCTAAACGTTTCCTCGACTCTCTCTTTCAACCGTTCTGTTTATTCAGACACAACCAAATCATGACACGAAATCTGGGAATGTTAAAAAAGGGGAGTGGACTAGTTTTCACCTCGAAGGGAGACGAAAGGGATGAGGAGGTGAGGAGAATTGGTGGCGATGAGGTGAGAGGGAGTGGTGGAGAAGACATTTGGTCTGTACCCGACACTTCCGGTGAGAGAGAGAGTGGTGAACTCGAGTTCCCTGCACTCTCCATGTGAGAGAAAATTGTGCAGAATCAATCTCGGGTGGTCTCTATTTGGCTCTGATTTACAAAGTATATATATATAACAAACTCAACTATATCTGTACAGGTTCAAAAACAACACTGAGATATCAACGCGTGTAAGGAAAATCATTGGAGGATTTTATAAAGGATCATGGTACAGCTGGAGAAAATTACCCCAGTTTTACAAGGATGCTTGGTATTCAACGTTTAAGGAGGTGTGTTTCTATATACTTTTAACATCAAATACATATTTTCTTTCCTCCACATTTATGAGTTCTATTTTTCATAAACGTTTCAATCATATCCTTTTTTGTTTGTTTTTTAATAACTTTAACCACATTGTTTTGATTGTAGACTAAGTATGAGTGGAATGTCGCCATTGAAGATCTAGTGAAAGCTAACTTTGAGGAACTAGCTGCCACTCGCCTCAAAGGAATGGTGATCCTTGCAAAATCCAAAGGAGTGAACCTTATTGATTCTTGCAGAACATTGGAGAGAAATGCCAGATTACTGGAAGACACCAAAATCCAAAGAAAAAAGTGAGAAAACTCGTATGGCTCGTTTGTTTAACGGTGATGGTTTGGGTCCACACAGCCACAAATCAGGCTCACGTTCTTATGCTGAAGTTCAAGATAATCTGGTAGTGTACATATTATTTTACTTTAAGGAATTTACTTTTACTTTTAAACTGAGTTTACAGCTTATGTTAATTGTTTAGGTGGCAAATAACAACTCTCTCCTTTAACACATACTCCATAGTTACAAGTCTTTCGTCCTTCTCCATGCTTTTGGTTATGGAACAGAAAACCTCTTGTGAAATAACTTGGCCAGGTTTTGGCCTTATTCACGGGTTCATGTACAATGTCTTTAACCCAAGGAGGAAAAAGATGTGTTTCGCTCCAGTAAGTAACCTGCGCATTTATATATACAAGTTTAATACTATGTATGATACATGAAATAAATATTATTATATTATTACGGAGACGCACATAATCTTTCACCCATATATGATATTCATCACCTCTCCTGGCAGAGAGTTCTTTTTTTAAAAGGTCTGCATATTTTGCAGACAAAAAATCTTCGAATGTGCTCTATTAGAGCAAAAAAAATAAAAATATAAGAAACCAAAGTATAAAATTGTGGGAACCGAAATCCACCTACTGTCAATAAATCGTAAATAAGGAAACTTCGGGAAATCCCTAAGTTTCCAGAGGAACCGGCTATCTGCAGAACCGCACAACGAAGATTAAGAAATTGACGAACTTAGAATTAAAAATAGAATAAACGAAATCGAGAGCACAGAGGTTCTTATTCTGAATCTGCGTAAGAACTGTTACAACGAGAGTAGCCTTAGCTGTATGAGCTGTCGGCGAAATCCCTAGAAGTCTAAGAACGAAAACCCTAGTTGAGACGCAGCTCGCTAACAGAAAATGGAAATATTCCTAAATGCTAGTTTTTGGTGGTGAGAGCTCTCGAAATCGTGTCCCAGCTTCTGCCCTATGCCTCCTCCTTATATACTCCTCCTTAGGCGGTTTTAGTCTTTCCATTTCACCCGAAACCGAATATATCGGGAATTTTCCATTTCTGTCGATCTTTCCTTTTCTTCCGCGGAAATCTTCTATTTAAATTCAAACTTGCCTTTTATCGTAACTCTTGCAATGTGTTTTAGCCGTGGTTCATCTCATGAAGAAGACTCCAAGTTTGTTTCACGTCTTTCTTTATTATGCACATCACTTGAGTCTTTTTGTCTCCCTTTTCCTGCTTCCGCTAACGTTGAATAGACTAGCAAGGTATAGTTTTTATTTTATTTTTTTGTGTATCTTTTTTTTAATGGCGCCTTACTTTCTTAATGGCGCCTTTCAAGTTATAAGGAGATATTTGGATTTTTAGTTTAGAGCGGCAAAACCTAAAAATTAATTAGAAACCGGGAAAATCCCTTAAAAAGTGGTAAGTATATTCAGAATTATCTTAATAGTTAACTAGTATATAAAGGAAGTGATATTAGTTACCTCTTCTCACGTTAAAACCTAAGAACCTAAACTACATCTTAGAAAATCAAAGCCGTCATGGTCTCAGATCTCTTTGGTTTTCTTATTTTTTGTAGTTAGTCGTTTGTTTTTTTTTATTGTTTGTCATGTCATGATCTAATATATACTTTTGCACTGCATCTCTTTCTGTGATTTCTTTTGTACTGCTACAGATGCGTCCACCAATGATGTTAGGCGGTCGTTTGTTTGGAAGATCATCTCTTCAATCTGTTGGTCTCCAAAGACAGAGGGAAGAAGTTGCTGAAAATGTCCAACCACGAGAACAAAGGAAAGAATTTGTACCTGTTGAGCAAGATTCGCGAGTGCTTCACCCATCTAGAAAGAATGGTGCTAAATGGTATTGTGATATATTCTGAATTTCTCTTCTCTGCATCCAGGGGGTATTGATATGCCAACGAAAGTTTATATCTCAAGAAGAAAGAAGCATATCAACAAGGAAATGACTAAAGAGATTGCTGAGCTGGCAAGTTAGTTAACGTCAATTAGAATATTGTAAACGAATCTTATTATATAAAGAACTCGTTAGTTGTTTATGCAATTCATTCAGAAGGAATCAGTTGTGGCTTGAGATCTCGGATTGTGAGATTCAAGAAAAGCTTAGTACTCTGATTTGTAGAGTTTAAGAGAGGGTGGTTGGAGGTTCTTAATCACACTACATACAAGTTCTTATCATACATATCACGCACTCTTGTGGAATTCAACAACAGAGAAACAAAGAGATGTAAATGGAACTTGACCACTATAAAATCCAGCGAGGCAAGCTAATACCTCAAACTCTTTCTTTGTTCTTTCTTTTCCAGATAGGTTTATGCTCGTCATGAACATCTCAAACTGAAACAAGCTTCTGTCTAAAAGTATATCTCCAGGAAAATTCGAGATTACCATATTGATCACAATCACCTTACCATTTGCCGGTAGCGATTGATGACAGTTTCTGAGTATCTTCACGCAATGTTAAGCATCCCAGCTATGGAGTATCCACTGTTGTAGTTGTAACATAACACACTAGAAATCCAATGTTAGCTTTTCTGTTAAGACTCACGAGATGGAACTTTCAATTCAACTAACCTTCATGAAAACGGCTTCTCCTTTAGGAATGCTTGTAAACATGTCTCCAGCAACATTCTCAGTGCCTAAAACCCACAATATCATTTCACCATGCAACAGAATATTTGCAAGAACTTGTATTATACATACCTGGAGAAACTGGTGAAGTGTTGATAACAGAGGAAAGTCAAAGTTAATAGCTTTGATGATGTGATGATGCTTGGAGATTATTTTACGGAGAATAGAGCCATCTCCACCACCAACATTAACCAATGACTTCACACCATCAAAACCCTTGTACTTATTCACAACTTCTTCCATGAAAACTTCATTGAAACCTTTTATGGAGCTTTGGAACACTTCTCTGAATCTTGAATCTCTGCCTACCAGTTCGACAGCGCTCGAACCATGAGCCTTGTTTAATGGAAGTCCTCCTTCAAGAACAGAATCTTTAAGGTTGTACCTAAATAAATCGATAATTAATCAAATTACTTCAGGACAGCACAACAAGACAGAGGGCATCATGTTTCAGATAAAAAGAGCTTAGGATGTTGTTAATGAATTTACCAGATGTCAGTCACGACCCTGTCTTGAAAAAGATTAACCATCGGAGCCAACAAGCCTCCTGAGCCTCGGTTGCTGGTGAAGTACTTGGCAACAGGAGCTAAGCCGTAGACCTCACGTGGCTCGCCTTGGTCAGTGGAAACAGAGCACGTGAGTATGGAATAGCTCGCTAGACATTGAAGAATCCGATTGAGTAAGGTTGAATCATGGTGTTTTGTGTTTGAGTAGACAAGAGAGACATGATCTGAGAAGCAGAGAGGGGAGAAGAAGGGCCAGATTCGGATAGGATGTTGAAGAGGCCTAGATCTATGGATGTCTTCAGAACCATGGGAAGAACAGAGGAGCTTGATAAGATCATAGCGTACAAAGAAAATTTTTGTTCTTCCATTTTACGATTCTTTGATTCTTGGAACTGAACCAAGAAGAGAGAATTCTTGTTAAATGAATGTTCATTTCTTTTTATAAAGAAGACGTAATAGCTTCTAATTTGACAATTCTGACAAGAAAAAAGAGGGATCAAAGTCTTACGTGACCCACAAGGGGATTCATCATTCTAAAATAACCCCATGTCAATTTCTATTTATTTTTGATTAAAATTTAAATAGAAAACTAAACAAAATGACCAAAAACTTCTAAAAGCTTAACCTATTTACCAATCCATGCCATTATTTCTCTACCCAAAACCAGACCCAACACCCCATTCACTATTAATCTGAAATCTCTAAATCAAAACACAATCTCCTTCCACATCTAATAATCCAATTTTTTTGTTCTTGTTCCTTACCCAGATTTTTTTTCTTATTCGAAATCGATCAATTATCATCCTGAATCGATGATATACCATGATTTTGACCCACTTTTGGTCATGGTATTGATATGTTTTTATGTATATTTACCACAATATAGATTCTATTCAAAATATTTACAGGTTCAGGTACGTTCTGGAGAAATATGGTGATTTTGGTGTCTTTTGGAGCCTTTAAGTGCAGAACTGCGCATATGCGTCAGATGTTTAGATATGGATGGAGACCTTTCCATGGTGCGATTGTGCCCATATATTGACACAAGATAGAGCTTTGAGTTATATTTCCAATGCCACCAGTTCGAGGTCAATCCAACGGTTAGATCCGAAGTTATGCCCATTTTACTGAAGAGTGGTCAGTCTGTCTCGCAAGAGAAGGCTGCCGAGAAGATATGTGCATGTCGATCGATGAGAGACACTTCATATCGATCGATATGGATGCAAGAATGCGGGCCAAGTATATTTCATGACCAATTGAAGCCCAGAAGAAATCTAAATTACCAGAATGCCCTTGAACGACCAGAAACCCTATTTATGTTATTTGCAAGCCATTGTTGACGGCTATGCTATCTACGCTTTCTTTTCATCTTTTGTTTCATTGTTATTAGTGAGGAGAGAAGAGGGGAACTCCTTCAGAGTCCTCTTGGAACTCCATTGGAATTATCTTTATGTTCTTATCTTATTATTATTCAGACTATGATTTGTGTTTATTCTATCATGTCTGAGTAGTTCATCTTGTTAGGTTTAGGGATTTCATGAGCTTAATGTCAAACTGAATATCAATTAGGATTGCTAGAATATCTATAGATCTCTACACCAGGGTGATTTTTAATACTAGGATCTGGAGTAATTAGGATATCATGATAGTGTGACTGATTGCTTGAACCTAGAATCATAGGACAATTGAGATGCACGAAAGTGCAGTCAATTAACAGAACCCGAATCCTGCTGAATTAGATACTTAATCGATTAGGTCGTTAATGTTTGTCTGAGGTAATATCGATCGATACTCAGGCCATAGTATCGATCGATACTCACTTCTTGTTCGCATGCGAAAGGTGGAACAAGGACTTAGCCATCTGATTAGTAATTGCATTGACATCTAGAATGAATCGAGTTCTAGAATGAATCTATAAGCTGTTAGCATCTTGAATTGTTCTTTTGAATCTCTTGATTGATAAATCCCTAGGTCTAGCTATTTCTCCTTATTGTTTATAAATCCAACCAATCGAACAACTACTTTGTTCACTTTGCTTTTATTTACTGTTTTATAAATTGTTTACCTAGCTTAACTTTGATTTCTATAGTCTATTGTGTGCTCCTGCTCTTTGTGGACTCGATCCCTAAGTACTACAATTGAACCTCTTATTTGAGAGAGTTCACTCCTTAGGGTTAAACATTTGAGTGATATCAAATTAGGCGCCGTTGCCGAGGAGCAAGGATTCGTCATTAGACTTGATTAATAGGTGTAGTCTAGGTTTTATTTAGTGTTATAGTTATTTACTGAAAATTTTTTTCTTGTCTTTCAGGTACATACATGTCTATTAGTACCAGAACCAGCAAGGAGGAATTACTTTTCATCTCAGATCCAACAAGATTGGAGCGTTTGATCCGCAAAGAAAAATGTTCCCTATCAATCGATAACAATACAAGTATATCGATCGATACTCGCCAACCACAGTCGACCGAGACACCGTCTTCATCGACCAATACTCACCCACCCACATCGACCGAAGCTACCCTTATGTCGAACGACATTTCCCACCCAACATCGATCGATACTTCACCTCGAAGATCGATCGATACTGAGCAGCGAGACATGGTTTCGATGATATCCCTTGTACGAGATGAGAATGGAGACCTGCATGACCAGGAAGATCATCTGTGTAATGAAGCAGGTCAGAAGATAGATGGAGAAGGAACTGCAATCCTTGAGCCATCTGCTACCACTATGGATGCTAGAGTTTCTCGCAAGAGAATGATAGCAGAATTGATCAGGCCTAGAGAGTTCTATGCCAACATGTCTGCTATCCGAATACCTCTTGAAGTCCCAGAATTTCCAGTACACCTCCTTCATGTGAGTGAGCACCCTTATTGCGGTCTGCCTCATGAAAATACCCTAGACAATATTCAGACACTAGAAGACTATAGGTCTTGAATCCAGAAGAATGAAGCAACAAAAGACTACATCATCTGCAAGTTGTTCACATTTTCACTTTCTGGGGATGCTAAACGTTGGCTGAGGCGTCTACGACCAGGATCTCTCACTACATGGAATGATGTCAGGAATGCATTCATTAATGAATTCTTCAATGATGCAAGGGCTGAAGAGATAAGAGATAAGATTTGGACATTCTCACAAGGACCTACAGAAGCTTCCAGAAGCTCTTGGGAGAGGTTTATGGGATACCAAAAGGATTGTCCACATCATGGTTTTATGGAGATTCAGTTATTAAAGAAATTCCACAGGGGCATTGATGTAAGCTACGGTGTTATGATGGATACTGCCAGCGACGGAAGCTTTGAGACAAGGAACATAGAGGAAGCTAAGAGGCTGATTGAAAACATGGTGTCTAGTACCAGTGTCAAAAATCTGGATATACAAAGGATAAAATCAGCTGCAAAGGATAGTGACAAGAATGTTGAGGCTGAGATTGGTTCTGTACATGAAGTCTCATGGGTGCAACAAGCTACATACCAGGATGAGAATGAGGTGGAATTTATGCTAGAGAAGCTCTTGAAAGAACATCAAGAGATGAATGAGCGTTTGAATCTGAAATTGGATTTTTTCTGCAAAGATTTGAATGGAAGGTTAGAAACCTTAGATAGCCATGTTAAGATGCACGCTTATCATACTGCAGAAGCTGTGAAGCAAGAAGCTTTGGTCAAAAAGAAAGCTGTGGAAAGTGAGAGGCACCAGGTTGATGACATCCTCGATATTGGATTGGAGAAAATACTTGAGCAGGAGAAGCTGGAAGAAGATGCTTTTCAAGTCGAAAGCTCTATGTCTATAGGCAGCTCATACTGGTGTCGACCGACACCAACACCCAAGCATCGCTCGACATCATCACCTGAGCGTCGACCGATACAATCTGATATGCATCGATCGACACCACTTTTGGGATCAGATAAGTTTGTTGGCATTCAAAACCACTCCGACTTTACCGCTCAACACCCACATCCTCTCATCCTACTTCGAGTTAAAGCAACTGCCTTTGATCGACAACAACAAGGGGACATCGATCGACAGGCAAAGCAGGACATCGATCGATAGGCGAAGCAGGACATCGATCGACAGGCGAAGCAGGACATCGATCGACAGGCGAAGCAGGACATCGATCGACAGGAGAACCAGAGCATCGATCGACATCTGCAGATGCCATGTCGAGTTAGTTTACCAGATCTTGATGCACACCGCTTGAAGGCAACTCAAAACCCATCTTAGACTCCAGTTTTCTTCAACACAAGAGAGAAGATGAATCAGCAATCTGCAGAAGCACCAAAGCAAGGGAAATCAACCCTAGCTGAAACCTCTTTTGTTGAGAATGTCGATCAACGACATACACCAGTTATCGAACGACACCAAGAGGATGGATACGACACTGCCATAGAAAGTCAGGTAACGAAAGATGAGATTCCAGCTGAGATGAGAGTAAAAACTAGGATCCTATATTCCCAAGCACCTCAGGAGAGAAATTAACAAAGTGGAACTTGATGGATTTCACAAGAGGGTGAAGAGGGTTCCTAAGGGTATGTCTTTCGAGGAGGCCTACTATAAGTACAGACTTGGTAATTTCTTCAGAGAAAGCAGAGAGACAGATAAGGACATTGAGCTGCTATTCAACAAGATATGTCGTAAGCCTAATAGAACTCTGAAGAAGGAGCCAGATCCAGGGAAGTTCCTGATTCCATGCTGTATACATAACCATGATTTGCCAACCGCCCTCTGCGATACTAGATCTGCAGTCAGCATCATGGCAATAGACACTGCTGAAGTAATAGGATTAGAGGTGGAACCTTCTCACGATGGATTCACTTTCGCAGACAACACCAGAGTTGATTCAGCAGGCATCATCAAGAATGTTAAAGTAAAGATAGGGGATTGCACTGTTCCAGTGGACTTTCATGTCATGGAGATTAAACCAGGCACAAAAAAATCACTTCTCTTTGGAAGGGCCTTCATGGCTACAGTGGGAGCAGTTTGTGATCTTAAGAAGAACAGGATGTGCCTGACTAATGTTGATAAAACTGTCTTCTATCATCCTTTGGAAAAGAAGACCGATGAGAAGTTTATTTCATGCATAGAGATGTTTGAAGATCCAGCACCTAAAGATGGTTCAAACCGCGAGTCGACACAACCAGAATCAACATCGATCGACAATCACCATTCAGCATCGCTCGACAAGCAGCCTTCAGAATCGATCGACACGAAGCATTCAGCATCGATCGATACACTCTGTATTTCAGAACAGACCGAGACTGAAAAGTCTAAGCCTGGGGGAAGGACAAGGAGTAGGAAGAAAAAAAAAGAAAAGAAATGCAGATGCAGATTTCCTATCACTAGTTCGTTCACAAGGTCAAGAGGGAAGTTTTGAGTATAAAGTGCGCTGCAGAGGAAATTCTGAACCTTTTGCCAAGGTTAGAGTGCTATGTGATCCAGAGCTGAGAGATAAAGGAGAAGTATCTGCTAGAACTTTTACCAACTATATCAACAAACTGAGGAAGAGAGATACTGAGACTTGTTCTG